CTGGCAGAGGGTATCCTTTTTTCCGTAACAACCTATAGGCTCTTGCACCAGCTGAATGAATGATAATAGCTTTCGAAATATCTTCAAATGTCCATGTTACTCGCTTATGAGGATGTTTTAATTTACAGATTTCAGTGGTGGTGAAAAACCTGTGAAAAATTTCATTTTCTTCTTTTAATTTGGCAATCATCTCATCTCTGTTGTCAGCATCAGTGTTCGTACTGAAATTTTAAAAAATCATGATTTATTGAAGAAGACAAAATAAATGCATTTTTCATGCTTTCTAAACTACCTTGCATCTCTTCTAGTGCTAACATTTTCTGTTTGCGCTACAGCATTCGAAATATTAGTAATATCATCCAACACCTGATTTACTTCAATCTTATTACCAAAACTACCATCACCAACACTCCTATAATTAAACAAAACCTTGAAATATAGCTAATAATACTTAAGGTTATAGATTTCCTTCTGAAAACGTCTCTAAACCAATTTCTAATACAACAAAACAAGATACTTACCTGGTTTGTAGGAGAGTCTCAACTAATTTTGACCTATTTCTTTTGTTAATGCGACTGGTTCGGGCCGATTCCCCTTTCACATCTTTTGAGTTTTCCAGTGGCAAATTGAGAAACGGTACGGCATCTGGTTTCAACAGCCGACGATTTCGGGCGGTATAGCCCAGTAGTTCAAACCGCAAATTCCGTTCATAAGACGACTCGTCAAAATGCTTCGAACATACTCTGGCAGTTTTTACATTAATGTGACCTGGCCGGTTACAAGCTAACACCCAACGCTTTTGAATATTTTGATCATTCGGGAACCGGAAAAACATTAGATTGCTTGAAAACTGTTTTGATCCATTATCTGTAGTACATCCAACAACGGAACACCTCATTTTGTTGAAAACTAATTCACAAATTCAAAAAAAGCACCAAAATCTACACTGACAGACAATTACATTTAATTTGAAATTCACCGCGTGACGTCACACACGTGATTCATAACTCCTCCTACATGCGCAATATCATATCTTATTTTTATTGTATCATGCATGTGTCTGATGTAGTTTACTAGCTTTGCACTTCCTTTATGACTATGAGCGTCTTGCTATAGGAAACAACAGCACAAATTGTACGTTTAATGTACCTAACAATAATTAAAGATTAAATGTAATGTAAGACTGTTGATTTTTAAAAAGGCGTCGGTAAGTAATTTTGCTGTTCTGTTTTTAGATCGGTAAGTAATTTTGGCGTCGTCGTAATCATAGCAACTGGTAAATTCTACGTACTGTCATGGAAACACCCATGGTAAATAGTCAGAAATAACCGATCGCGCAAAAAAGTATGAAACGTATTGAGCAAGTTGTTTCTCATGAAATTTATACGTATTAACCTATAACAAAATTACCACAAAATCCAAAACTAAATCTGGCAACTAGGTTTTGCACATTGACAGGAAATTATCATTTTGTATAAAATGGACATAAAGTTACAGCCCTTTGAATTTTTTTTCGAAATTGGTTTCTAGTCTATAACTTTTGATTGAGAAGTCTGATCGAAAAAGTACGAATTGATTTGCATTCTACGCACCCAAATTAATAAGAAAAAGTGTTTTCCCGAGATGTTTTGGTGTAGTCAATTTTTGGTAAAAAAGGAAGGTTATACACTGCCTTATTTTGAGCCCCGAAAAAAAAATTGTCTCAGATCGACCCGGACAAAAAATTTTCTTATAGAATGTGACCTGTAGAATCCATAATTTCAAACAGTTCCAAGATTGGGCTACTGGTTCAAAAGTTACAGCCCCTTGAATTTTTTTTCGAAATTGGGTTCTAGTCTATAACATTTGATTAAGAAGTTTGATCGAAAAAGTACGAATTGTTTTGGATTCTACGCACCCAAATTAATAAGAAAAAGTGTTTTCCCAAAAATTTTGGTGTAATCGATTTTTGGAAAAAAGGAAGGTTATACACTGCCTTTTTTGCCCCGAAAAAAAAATTGTCTCAGATCGCTCGGGAAAAACCATTTTCTTATAGAATATGGCCTGTAGAATCCATAATTTCAAACAGTTCCAAGATTAGGCTACTAGTTCAAAAGTTACAGCCCTTTGAATTTTCTTTCGAAATTGGTTTCTAGTCTATAACTTTTGATTGAGAAGTCTGATCGAAAAGGTACGAATTGTTTTGGATTCTACGCACCAAAATTAATAAGAAAAAGTGTTTTCCCGAGAAATTTTGGTGTAGTCGATTTTTGGTAAAAAAGGAAGGTTATACACTGCTTTTTTTTGAGCCCCGAAAAAAAAATTGTCTCAGATCGACCCGGAAAAAAAATTTTCTTATAGAATGTGGCCTGTAGAATCCATAATTTCAAACAGTTCCCAGATTGGGCTACTAGTTCAAAAGTTACAGCCCTTTGAATTTTTTTTCGAAATTGGTTTCTAGTCTATAACTTTTGATTTAGAAGTCTGATCGAAAAAGTACGAATTGTTTTGGATTCTACGCACCAAAATTAGTAAGAAAAAGTGTTTTCCCGAGAACTTTTGGTGCAGTGGATCTTTGGAAAAAAAGGAAGGTTGTACACTGCCTTTTTTGAGGTTAGAAAAAAAAATGGTCTCAGATCGACCCGGAAAACAAATTTTCTTATAGAATGTGGCCTGTAGAATCCATAAATTCAAACAGTTCCAAGATTGGGCTACTAGTTCAAAAGTTACAGCCCTTTGAATTTTCTTTCGAAATTGGTTTCTAGTCTATAACTTTTGATTGAGAAGTCTGATCGAAAAAGTACGAATTGTTTTGGATTCTACGCACCAAAATTAATAAGAAAAAGTGTTTTCCCGAGAAATTTTGGTGTAGTCGATTTTTGGTAAAAAAGGAAGGTTATACACTGCCTTTTTTTGAGCCCCGAAAAAAAAATTGTCACAGATCGACCCGGAAAAAAATTTTCTTATAGAATGTGGCCTGTAGAATCCATAATTTCAAACAGTTCCAAGATTGGGCTACTAGTTCAAAAGTTACAGCCCTTTGAATTTTTTTTCGAAATTGGTTTCTAGTCTATAACTTTTGATTGAGAAGTCTGATCGAAAAAGTACGAATTGATTTGGATTCTACGCACCCAAATTAATAAGAAAAAGTGTTTTCCCGATAAATTTTGGTGCAGTCGATTTTTGATAACAAAGGAAGGTTATACACTGCCTTCTTTTGAGCCCCGAAAAAAAAATTGTCTCAGATCGACCCGGAAAAAAATTTTCTTATAGAATGTGGCCTGTAGAATCCATAATTTCAAACAGTTCCAAGATTGGGCTACTAGTTCAAACGTTACAGCCCTATGGGTGGTTAATCAATTACTTCCATCAGGCAGCTGCTCTAAGACTAAAAGATTCCCCAAAGAATAGGAAGCTACCCGCCGTAAATAAGATTAACAGAAATGTACTAATCATCAAACAGCACAGACATAAAACAAAAGACCCAAGGAAGAATATTCCAATGGCACCGTAGAAGCAAGAACTACAGTCAAGCGCAGTTAAGTATCTAGCTATTACTAAGCATACAATTGTAAATATATAACAGCCTTTTGAAATTAATAATGTTCATTAGAGCCATTTGCCTACTCAATAAAGTATGAAACGTATTGAGCAAGTTGTTTCTCATGAAATTGATACGTACTAACCTATAACAAAATTACCACAAAATCCAAAACTAAATCTGGCAACTAGGTTTTGCACATTGACAGGAAATTATCATTTTGTATAAAATGGACATAACCTAATGAGTGACAGCACATATACACAGTGAATTTCATCATCCTAACATGGCCTGCTATTTGGACAATATCTATTGAACGGAGTATACTTATAAGCGAGAAGGGCGTACGAGAAGAATGTGTAAGATTACAAAATATTGCTAAAATATTTAGGTTAGTGGTCCACACCTTGCGTGAGACCAATGTTGCCCTTTACGACAGCTAAAATGATCTAATTAGCATTGACAATCTGCTTAACCATATGATTGTACTTAAAAAATGCAGGGAGGGCACAGGTATGACAACTTAACGTTTCATTCAATTCAAGACGATAATTAATTAAACGGTTAGTATTGTATGAATATAATTTAAATGAAATACCAACCGGATTTTTTCATGTCTAAAGGAAGAAATGCCTATGTGGTAAGTTGATGATTACACGTTTCAGATGTTCAATTAAAGCCCAATTTAGCAGGTGCATAATCAATAATTTTCTGAACTAAGTAAATATGTCACGTAAAAACATTTATGTTAATTAAGTACGTTGTTATGCAAATTTTTATGTTTCAATCAAGTCTGTCTGCTACTTATCGCAGCTTCCACATGGTGTCACAATATTGAGGAACTAGCTTTCAGATTTATTTATTTCTTCTAGGGGATGTGGAAACTACGTCATGCGGCTGTTTTATGTGGTAGTAGCACCTACAGTAATGATGGGTCATCCTGTATTATGTGAATTTAAATTTTTTTTAAGTTAAATGTGGTTGTTATTTTGAGATTGAACACACATTCGATCATATTATTTGAATTCCGGGGTCAATGTTATTTTGTTTCAGAATTATTTGACGTTTAAATAATCTCTTATTTGTTTATTGTGATATGTTAATTTAAATTACGTGTAAAACATTTGCAAATATCCGCGTGTGGTTTTGTAAAATTTATGGCTTTTAAAGTTGGCCAGTGCAATAAAAGTTATAGCTGCGTAAAGCCAATTAGTTTCAAGATACGCAGATGATTTTTTTAACCAAGCTCAATATCAGAAACTTGAATAAATCACTAGTTATTATCCTGATCCTGAACCCTATTTTTGTGAAGTAACTAAACTGGAATTACCTAAAAAATATTGAAAACATGAGAAAATTAGACACGGGATTTGAAATTTTGATACCTGACTAAATCAAAACATCTGGAATAAATAAATTTTGTCTTTGATATGAAAAATTATTAAGAACTATTCCTTCAGAATTCAAAACATTTGCTCACCTGAAAAATAGTTGATGAAACTGCGTCGCAAATGAAGTAAAAAGACATCCAAGAGCAGTTATGAGTCCTCCCATCACAGCCGTAACGCGTGTAGATTTCCTTCGGCAAAACGCTATTGTAATTGGCGATATCAGCAGAGCAACACCCGTAGACATCGCACCCAGCCATCCTGTAACAAAAGAGATCCTGTTAGTATGCTATCTGGGGGTTTTCAGCGTAAAATCAATTTTAAAATAATACCACAAACCTGCTGGTTGCTTGATGTTCGTTTCAAACTTTTTCGACGTTTCGATGCTGAGCATTCCGAAGGAGAGGACTAATCCGCTTCCAAGTGAATGAACGATAACCCCTACAAAAAGTACGATCCATCCCCAACCACCCTCGGGATAATAGTGCTGTTTAAGCGTCAGCAGTTGACGTAAATCTGCCACCAAACGGGCGGCGCGACTAGCGGGTGCCTCGTCGACTCCCGAATTCTAAAATTTCCCGTAGTCCAGAAACGCTTGTTCAAAACATTTATATGACTATTTCTGTGCATTTCAAATTTTTGGTCCTTCATTCTGCACTTCAAGTATCTAACACTAAAGAGCGCAAATTGTGAGTTTCCGACTCTTTTTTTAAAGAAAAAATCTGGGTCGCTGGATCATAGTAGTTGATTTAAATCGGCCGTGGTAATATATTTATGACTCAGACCGTAACTATTACATAAAATATTCAATTTTTTTGAAGTAAATACTGAAATACTCCTACAATTTAGCAATGGATTATAAACACAACCTTTTTACCCCCCCCCCCCCCCCCCCCCCCCCCTCAATCGTATGAAAATATAAAAGTAGTCTTCTTGTAAGTAATGACTAAAAATCTTGACCTGAGAGAACTGAAAAAGAAGTACAAAAAAATATAGCCAAAAAAAGATGAAAAAACAGAAAGAATATGAAGAACGAATCGGGGAAATAAACACAGGAAAAGACTTTTGGTAGAGGATAAAGAGGGAAAGGAAAAATTGTGAAAGAAATACAAATAGAAGACTGAAGCAGCAATTTATTAAGGTAATTCCCGATTTACAAAATAGGGTAATCACGATAATGACGACGGGATGCAATATATGCAATGGTGAATGAAAGATTAGGAAGAGAAATTGAAGAGAATAGAATGTTGGAGGAAACACAAATGGAATTCAGAAAAGGGATGGGAACGATCACCTGTACGATCAAAGATTGGTGGAAAAAGGATAGGAAAAAAGGGTGGAAAGGTGATTTTGCATGGATTTAAAGGCGGCGTTTGACATAGTGGAAGGCGAAAAAGTATGGAAAATGATGGAAGATGGGAAAATATACAAGAAGCTAAAGGAAAAAATCAAGGAAAGATAGAAGGAACGGAGTCTAAAGTGTTCTGAACAAGTAGATTTATACTTCAGAGATATGGAAAATTATTAAGACAGTGCCAATGTGGAGGGATCGTAAAGGGAAGAAGGAAGGTATATATGGTCCCTGGCATACGAGGACGACGCACTGATAATGGCAACAGAAGTGAAACAGATTACGGAAATTATGGCAAGAATGGAGAGGTATTATATATATGTTATAGATTATGAAAGGAAGAAAATGGAGGCAAATGTCGAAAAATTGAAGGTGACGAGCTTTTGGAAAGGGGGGGAAGCAAAAGGGATATAGAATTCAAATGGAGAGAGGAAAGAGTAGAGGAAGTTAAATACTTAGGCTAAGAAAGAAAGGAGAAAGTGGAAAAAACAAGAAGAAAGGAAATGCACAACTTGAGGAGAGGAAAAGGAAGATTTCTGCCTGCCTATCGGTAGGCGTTTTGAATTGGAATTTCGATATACCGCAATATGCGCTCTTACATGCCGGCGTTTTGTATTATGACTAACTCATATCGTTGAATGAACTCATATCCTATAACAGCTATTTATACTCGTATATCAAGTACATAAATTGACTCTTTATGGACGAGCCGTTTATTTATACAAATAAACAAGGCGAGTCCCCATAAAGCCTATTAGTGTAGGGGTTAAGAGCCAAAATAGGTTCCAACCTTGCATTATGTGATAACTTCATGAAACTTTCAGAGGATGTTCTAGACACCCTAAGGTTCAATTTCAGCTATGCCGCCACCCCCGCAACCCCGGACGGCACTTGCTATAGCGGGTTTCTTAAGCGCAAGGTAGCATTTCAATAACCGTCCATAAAATGGATCAAAAATGTATGTCCAGGGTTTGGTTTGTATTTTCTTACATCTATGAAGGATGAAGGAAATTGTCAAATACCCTGGGAGAATTTATTTAGGGTATTTTACGTGTTTGCCTATTTTTAAGGCGCTTTTAACAGTGCGGACTAGGGAATGCAATCCCGCAGCAAAATCTCAATCCCGGTATTTGCGGGATGGTTAGATGTTAATCCCGCGGGATCCCGGTATTTGCGGGATCTCGCAAAACTTTAAATAAATTGGCAAATAAGCAACCACCTGTAAAGCACAAAAAGTCTTCTAAAGTGCCTCAAAAATCATAGTACATTTTTAACGAAAAAAGTTTAACAATTATTTAAAAAATAATTCGCCGTTATCAGTTTCATTAACAAAGTAAACAGAGTCGTCCCCTTGGTCGACAAATTCCTCAGTCCCGCAAATCCCGCTCCATTTATGTGCGGGATTAATCTCGCAAAAAAGCTGTGGGATCCCGGTATTTCGGGCTCCCGCAATCTCGGTATTGCATTCCCTAGTTTCTAGTCTATAACTTTTGATTGAGAAGTCTGATCGAAAAAGTACGAATTGTTTTGGATTCTACGCACCAAAATTAATAAGAAAAAGTGTTTTCCCGAGAAATTTTGGTGCAGTCGATTTTTGGTAAAAAAGGAAGGTTATACACTGCCTTTTTTTGAGCCCCGAAAAAAAAATTGTCTCAGATCGACCCGGAAAAAAATTTTCTTATAGAATGTGGCCTGTAGAATCCATAATTTCAAACAGTTCCAAGATTGGGCTACTAGTTCAAAAGTTACAGCGCTTTGAATTTTTTTTCGAAATTGGTTTCTAGTCTATAACTTTTGATTGAGAAGTCTGATCGAAAAAGTACGAATTGTTTTGGATTCTGCGCACCAAAATTAATAAGAAAAAGTGTTTTCCCGAGAAATTTCGGTGCAGTCGATTTTTTGTAAAAAAGGAAGGTTGTACACTGCCTTTTTTTGAGGCCCTAAAAAAAAATTGTCTCAGATCGACCCGGAAAAAAATTTTTCTTATAGAATGTGGCCTGTAGAATCCATAATTTCAAACAGTTCCAAGATTGGGCTACTAGTTCAAAAGTTACAGCCATTTGAATTTTCTTTCGAAATTGGTTTCTAGTCTATAACTTTTTATTGAGAAGTCTGATCGGAAAAGTACGAATGTTACAATAAATCACCCCCACCCCCTCTAAAATCTACCCACACGGAAAATGTCAAGTGTTCTTCGGGTCAAATCGTTTAAATGGCTCTAAGGAACAACTGTACCAAGTGGCACCTTGGTATAAAAAAATTCAGTATCTTTCAACAATTTCCGTTATACCGCTAGTATCGTCTTTCGCTATAAAAACCGATGCACGTCATTGATTTATGAATCAATTTCAGACAAGTTTTCTATAGATTTCGCACACTTGTTTTTTTTTGTACATGTTGCAGTGTTGCAGCATATGTCTGAAATTGATACACAAATCAATGACGTGCAACGGTTTCTATAGCGAAAGACGTATACTAATTGACAGACGGCCGTTTTACTTCATCATTATGGACTAGGCCATAATATTGCAAATTATGGCCACTAATTGCGACTGTAATCACCGCATTATCAAGCAGTCGTACATAAAGGGACTTTATAGAGACAGGGGCGACAATAGACAATTTTTTATTGGTTGTTGAGATCGGCGGCCATGTTGCATCGAGTATACAAAATATTGTATTGTAGTGTACGCAACGCATGCCATACGTGTATTGTTGGATTCAACATGGCGACTGGACTCCTATTATCGCCACTGTCTCTATAAAGTCACTGTAATATTTTTTGCCATTGCGCGCTCCCTTCCAGCAATGATTTGCACCTTCTTCACATAACTTACGAAAGATCTGGTTGTCACATTAATTAATTAGAATATTGTTGCTTGCGTTTCCTTATTTTTCTTCAACTTAAAAAGGTAAATTGTAATTGCCGCTAACAGTTTAAGGAGAAAAGAGATTTATTTTCTGTGAATCCGAAGCAACAATTGAAATTAAGTAATGACAGCCAGAACTTTATTTGGGATGCATAAAATTAGAGATTTATCATTTAAAAGTAGACATAGGGAAAAAGAATACTTACACGTAAATCCATATGTCTACTTCTTTATAATTATCACTGTGCCCCCTGCATAAATGAAAGATTGGAGAAAAAAATTAACTCAAATACGGCCTAAAGGTTCCTGAACTTTTCCAATGGACTACATTTTGTATGCGTATTAGCATTTATCCAATTTTGCGATGCGCATTAAATTAAATTGGACAATTTAAGCAAGTGATTAACTGCGAAAGTTTTTCTGATCGTAAGTTTCTGTCCCAGGTCTTGTCAACAAGTTCGTTAAAACCTTCCCCGTGTAGGTAAAATTTGTGGTGGTGACACTTTTTTAGAACGTTAGTAGCTCTACCATTTAATCAATCAATCTGTAACGCAAACATTTACATTTTGAACGGAGCAAATTGAATGCAAATAATTCTTTGTTTTCCTTTCTAAGTGTGTCGTTCCGCGATCACGGGGTAAATCCGCCTTCCACGTGCTCAAATAGGACACACACGAAGACGAAATGCACAGATATAGACATACAAATACTGTTATATGTGTAACAAACCCCGCAGTAGCTTCCCAAACCGGAGTCGTGGTGTGACAAGTGAGGTAGAGATCGTGACCTGGAGAGCACGTTCCGGCGAGGTCGCTCATCGCTTGAGAGTTCTTCGTCGGTCGTTGCCATTCCCATTCAAATCTATCGATGTTACTTTGTAATATCATCTCTACATCTCATTTATAAGTGATTCGAGAAATTTTTCGTTTTTCACTCCTTCGGCTAAGACTGAAATAAAACATTCCTTTACCGAACTTGATATCACGAACGTTTTGCCGAATATATTATGTACTGCCAGTACCTACTAGACGCGATTTATGAATGGAATTAATTAAGCGACATACAAACATGGAAAAACGTTGTACAGGCAATGGTTTTGGGTCCTAATTAGACATCACGTTCATTTAGCGCCAATAAATTAGTCATAATTGAAATGTGCCAGTAGAATTTGTGGGAATGGGAAGTATTTCGAAAGCCATAAATTTCCCTTTTCTTAGGAAATCCATAACATTATGAAAGTTATAGTTTTTATGCCAGATACTTTTCCCTTGTTTAGTTTTAGGACGTTATTATTTCCACGCTAGCTAATTATCCAGCCCTAGTGGAAAAAAACAGATAATTGAACTTTATACAAGGAAATTATTATGACAGAAGGATTCTCAATTTTTCTTTCCAAGCTTATTAGAGAACAACACACATTTGCAAGGCATATAGTGGAAACTAGCACAAAATTTGGAAACAGGATGACACCGATGTGTCAACAGTGTAATTTGGTAGATTTTTCAACAGCAACAGAAAATCGGCCTATTATCCTTTTGTATTGCCACAACTGTTCTTATAAAGTGGGAATTATTTTCCACTTCATACTAGTTCAGCCCCCAGTAAACACATTTTTACCTTGTCTAATTGGACGCAAATTGCGTTTTTCTTACTCTTCTGTATGTATTTTAGATAATTTTAGAATATCAAAAGTAACAAGTGATAGATTATGTCAATTTCTAACTGGTAAGAATAAATTAACAGAACGCTCCCTATATCTTTCGTTTCCTTTTGAATTCTCGCGATCCTCACTGTCTGGTCTCAGCAGCTGAACTTGTACATCTTTGTCTCCTTTTGCAAGTTCTCCATCCATAATTCCCCTATTTCTCTGCTTCTTTCGACCTCTGCCCCTTCGTATCTATTTTTAGTAATAGTTTTTCCTTCGTTCCCACCAAATCCCTATTGTGTTAATCCTCGTCGGTAATCCTTTTTTCACCAATTCACTTTCCGTTTCTCCCCTTTCTTCAAATCTTACTGCCCTGGGTACTGACTCTTTCTTATCTCCTCCATTTTTATTTTCTCCGCTAATATGTAATTTAGTGTCCCAGTACCCGCTTGCAGTATCTTCTTTGTATTCGTACTAATTCATCCCATTCTTTCCACCCTTATACTTGGTGCTTGATCTGAAAACACTCCTCTTTCATATTCTCCACACCTGTCCCATCGCCAGTTCTCCCTTTTTTCTTAACTCCCTAATTTGTGCGTTTGCTCCATTATTTATGTATTTTGTGTTTTACCTTGTCTTGCCACCTACAATTCTCTGTAATTTATTTGGCGACAATAAACTTATATTATTATTTCTTTGCATTTGATATCTTCCTTCTTCCCATCACGATTCCTCCAATTTGACCCCGTCTTAATATTTTCTACATATCCCTTCTGTATAGAAATTAATTAAGATTGGACTAAGTGGGCATCCCTGTTTCAACCCTTTTATTGTGCAGAACACTTCAGACTCCTTCTCTCTTATCCTTACTCTACTTCTTGTCTCTCCATCTCCTTAATTCTGTTATTTAAATTTATATCGATTTTTTCTCTGTCAAAAGCTGCCCTTAGATACATGAAAAATGCTCTTTCCGCCCTTTTTTCCAATTCCTTTTTCACCTATTGTATTTGTATTGTATTATATGTAATACATACAATCGATCGTTCCCCTCCCTTTTCTCCCCCACTTCTCTACCATTTCTCTTTCCAATCTTGCATTCACCACCATTGCGTAGATTCTATACGCCGTCGTCATTATCGAGGTTGTCCTACAATTTTCCATACAGCCCTCTCTGTCGTAAATCGGTACTTACCACTTCCGGGGGTTTACCCATAAAACCCATAAAAATGGGAGTTAACTGAGCCCTTTACCACGATCATTTGAGGCGTCAGGGGAAACCCCGACAACACGGGGGGGGGGGGGGGAAGGACTGCCTAACCTATGCTGGCTTCCATTCTCCCGGTAGTGTTATTAGTTTCCACAGCTTCTCTTTAATACTATCTGTAGCGAAAATCATGTCTAATTTCTTATTTCGTCCCTCCCTGCCGCCTTCATTTTCTTCAGTTTCTTTAATTGTTGCTCCATCTCTTCTGTTGATATCTCGTTTCCTTTCACCTCCTCTTGTCCTCTATCCCACATGGCCGCACCCTTCCTCCCGCTTCCCTTGTAACACCGTCATAAAGTGCTGCTTCCAGTCCTCTGATTGTATTTCTCTCCCACTAAATGTGATTCTCTGTTATCATCTTCCAAGAGTTCTTTTTTTTTCGATTTTCCGAATTTTTCTTTATATTCCTTCTGTTTCTTCGTCTTTTTTTTTCTTACATTGTACCTTTTTTCTGTTCTCTCACCCCCTTCTCCTCTATCTCTTTCTTTCATTATCTCTCCATTATTGTTCTCTGCGTGTGTCTCTCTTCCGTACTTTATTTTGTCCCAGCACTGCTTTCTTTTGTCTCCCTTCCTCTTCCTTTACCTTTTTCCAGGTTATTGCCTTGTTCAATATTCTCCTTCATATCATTCACTTCTAATTTGTGCTCTTTTTCATATACTTGCTCTTCTAGTCTCCTTCTATAAACCTCCACCGTGTCTATTGTCCACTATCCTCCCTTCGTCTTTGAATCTAACCATTTCTTGCTTTTATTACCTTCCCTGTTAGTCTTATTTCGATCGGATGGTGATCCGATTCTGTCCTTGTTCCTACTTTATAATCCTCTAGTTCTAGTTCTTCCGTTTACTAGTATGTAGTCAATTATCGTCCTCCCTTTTCCCCCAATGTATGTATATTGTCCATCTCTATCTCCCTCCATTTTTCCTTTAATATCCCCCAACCTGTCTTTTCTGTTTATTTCAGTAAGAACTCATCCTCTTTGTTGGATTCTTTATCTCTCGACTTTCTATCATGTGTTCCTCTTCTCTTCTCCACCCAATTTCCTTTATTCCCTGTTCTGAAAATTAAATCTCCTTCAATCATTAACCTCTCCTCCTCCGTTTTATCTATCATATTTTCTAATTTATTTTTTTAACTTTTAACTCTTTCGTTATCATTCTCATCCTCTGCCCCTCCACTTCCCCTCTTCTTTCCTGTATGCCTTCTCCACCTTTCATTTTATTTCCGTATCTTCTTTACCCCTGTTAAAATGTCTTTCGTTGCTCTTTCCTCTTTGAGAAATGGTTCTCCCATCTTTATTCATTCGGTAACATATTCTTTATGTTCTCCCTTTGCTTTTCCTCTATCTATAATTTCACCTTCATATCCTCTTACAAACCCCCAGAATTGGGGGTCTTTACTTGCTATCCTCGCCAAATTTCAGAACCACGCCTTCATGTTACTCATCTCCCTTTCCATTCCGCTTTTCGTATCTGTCTCCTGCCCCCCGCTCCGCTATCTCTCTAATTTCTCTCTATGTATATCCCTGGTTCCCTTTAACTTCTCTCCTCTTTCCCCATGTTTGCTCTGCGACTATTTTATTTTCCCCTACTTCCTTTCCCTTTTTCCATCTGTGCTTCATTAATCGTTATGTTTTTCTTAGTTTTTCTCTTTCTTTTCTCTCAATTTCTTCTTCGAGTTGGTTTATCCGTTTTTATTCCGTTCTTCTTGTTTTGCCTTATCCCATTCCTCTTCCTTTCTCTTCATTTCCTCCCCTTTTCCTTCGTCCTCTTCTCTTTCATTTTATGAATTTGATCATTTGTCTCCTTAGCTGCCCTTCTTACTTCCTGATTAACATCCTCCATCAATTTTTACAATACTTTTTCCATGCTTTCCGCTCCGTCTCCCCCACCCTCCTTTTTAACTTCACCCTGATTCATTTTAGTAATTTGGTTTGTTAAAGCAAAAAATGTCACGGTGGAAATCCGCCTTCCAGCGGCGTTCCATACAGGGTGTGTGTCTGAACAAAAACCTGGGCGGAAAGGGGGACCAAATTTTCAAATGTCTAGTGGTCCAAAGCATCTTGTTTGAGAGATATGACTCCAAAAGTCCCAAAATGTCTTCCTTTCTATTTTTCTCAGCACGTACGAGACTGGAATTAACGAATCTTCCTTGGTTTTTAGATATGTCTTTTCCGACTTTGCAAAAATGTTGCACAAAATCCTACCCCAAGATGGCGCACTTCTCAATAAGGTTGTTATTTTCACGATATTAAATTTCAGTAGGAGCGAAATTTTCTTGCACCTCAGTTTAGGGCCCCATATTGGAGTAGCAATTTTAGGAATATTTTAACAAAATCAGAATACATACGACAAAACCGACAAAATTTTTATTCTAAAACATTTTTTTCTGAAATAATGCTTGTTGAAAAGAACTTTGTGTTGAGAAATCCACTTTCTCACACTTTTGACACACGTCAATCCACCCGGTAGGATTCTGTTCCAATTGTGTAAAAGGGCACCTGTTTTGCTCGTTCTTTTCTATTGTCGCATTGTTTCAGTGCACCATCTTCACTTTATTGACCATCAAAAGTACAATCTAAGTTTTGCAGATCTGAAATGAAACTTTACGAAAGTTTCCTTGATTGAATTGCATTAAACCATAAAAATATAACGTCGAACTTGGTTACCGAAGAGGGGACTAGCGACCAATACCGATGAACATGCACAGTTCATGAACTTTAGATTTGGCAATCAAAACGAATATATGTACAACGTTACTCGAAATTGGAACGCATTCCCAAAACGAAGGTACATAAAATGTTATGCAATTTTATCGCTGGCTGATATCTGTTTTATAACTCAGTCGTCTCTAGTGTGGCGTCGGTTAGTATGCAACTGCATTAATCACGTCGAAATGTACAACCTATTCCTGCAATTACATTTCTAATGGTATATACAGGACAACAGATAGACAATTTAATTTACATATAAACAGCATTAGCTTGTTCGGAAATAATGTTTGCAATAACGGAATTAGACCGCGAACTAATAGTCTCGG